AAGAACTAGGGGCACCTGAGTGAGACAGTCGGTTGAGCGTTGGACTCTTGATTTGGGTTCAAGTCATGATCTCGGTCGTAAGCTCGAGCCCTGTGTCAGGCCCCATGCTCTGCAGAGTCGGCTTGAGGTTCTTTATCCCTCTCCCGCTGCCCACGCTCCCTCTTGAAAATAAATAAATCTTTTTTAAAAAGTGAATCAACTGTAACTAAATTTAACAGCAAAGATGAGTCTCACAAACACTGAAGTCAAAGAAACCAGACACAAAGGAGTACATCCTATGGGATTCCATTTAGATAAAATTTTAATGCTGGTAGAATTAGTGTGTTGGAAGTCAGGATGTTACCCTTGAGGAGGAGGGTAGTTAGTTGGGGACATGCCAAGGGCTTCTGGGGTTCTGGTAATATTCTGCTTCTTGATCTGGGTACACTGGTTACACGCGTGTTTCACTCTGAGGAGATTCATTGTGCTGTGTACTTATATGTGGTCTTTGCTGTATGTGTGTTACCCATCAATAAAAAATACTGTCCTCCACCCTCTAAAAGAAGGACAGGCCCCCAAGCCAAATGCATGATGGGGAGGAAGAACTGGATTCCCAGTGTAGAGCCTGAAGGATCCTGACAGAAAGCAAGTCACCTGCTTTAGGCCAGTGGTGGCAATGGGCACCCATGGTAAAGCCGTGGCCGGCGTGTGGATGTGTTGGGCTCAAGTTCAGTTCTGAGTGATCCAGAGCCCCTGCCCTGAGATACCAAAGTTAACACTGGTTTGAAACCAGTAACCCTTGTAGATCCTGTCAGAGCCACCCCACTTGGAGGACTCCACCACTCGGGCCACTTGTTGAGACTCTGGGCAGACAGGCTGTTGATCACATTTTGAAAAATACTGATTGGTTTACAAAACACTGGCTACGGCCAGGGCACCCACCAGCATCATTTCTCCAGGTGGCAGGCCAAGTTAATATATTTCTTGCTTTAGAATATAGCTTGGTTGACTATAACAGTTTTATATGGGGAAGAGCTTCTGTACGTGTGCAACTCCCCCATACGACTGCAGCCCCTGGACAGTCAGGAATTCCCCTGTTCATCGCCGTTATCACCAGTGCACAGGATGATGGCTGGTGTATATTTGGGGTTCAAAAGTGATTGTTCAGGAGGGGGAATTGCTAAGTAGTCGTGGAACACCACTGTGTGGTAAGCACAGTGCCGAGTGATTTTGTGTGTGACTTAATGGGTATTTTACTGTTTTTGATAAACATTTCACCTAATTTGTAACAAGGGGCTTTGTCAGTTGTGTTACGTAAATCGAAACAGTATTCTCCAAAGTAGGATTCCTATATCCTAGGATATACTCCACGAGATGATGCCTTGGAGTATGAAATACTGGGGGGTGGGAGAGGAGAGATAGATATGGGAGAAACACAAATGGGAATTTTTTTTAAAGGTCCCATGATACAGTCTGGGTTATCGTTATTTTGAGTATAAATTTCTGATACAGTATTAACCAGTTCTCTTCATCATAAACCTGGAGACAGCTTCATTGCTGTTGGGTGAGTCAGAATGTGTCCGATAAAATACTGCATTCTTGATATGAAAATATCTCCAAAGGATAGAAGGTATATCTATATTAGCATTTAAAGTAAAATGTCTTAATAAAGAAGAAGGGAAAGGGGAAATGGAATCAATTCTAGACTATTTAACACTGTTTAAGTTATCTTTGTTGTTTTTAATCTGAAGACTTGCCAAATTCACTGGGTTAGTAGGCTGGGTTTCTCTGTATTGGTCATGAACTCGTGCATGTTTTGATGAATTTAATAGCACTTAATGATCATGCAGTGGGAAGAGATGAAAAATTCCTAGGATTTCAGGCCTTTTTATTTTATCCTCCATGTCTCAAACTGTTCCATGATTTCAGTGTCTTTGCGTCCCATTCTCTTTGTGCCTTCAGGATGTGGCCCATCCTGAATAATTTCTTTGAATCTAGATTCCAGTTCTCCAGTTCTCTTTTGAACTGTATATGCATTCTTCTGTCCTGTCTATTGAGTTTCTAGTGTCAGTGATTATAATTTTTATTTCTCTTGGGTTTTGTTCAAGCAGCGCAGGTAGTTTGCCTTATGGGTTCCAAACCCATGTGGTTGGGTGTTCTCTTGGAAGACTTTTTCCTTTTATTCCACTTTATTCAGGAGTGAATCTAGGAAGGCAACATCCCTATCTTCCTACTGTGGGCCAGCCTTTCAGAGATTCCATATTTCCACAAGGTGGACAGAACAGAGTTCCCTCATTCTTGTCTCAGGCTTATCTGCACCTCTGGATCACCACGGACCAACAGATGGCCCTGGGTCAAGCAGCCAGCTCTCCCTCACTCAGAGATTTCTCCTCATTTCTGACCTGGGAGGTTCCTTTATTCTCCTAACAGTTCTGTTACGTATTTTAAAACATGCTTTTAATGCATCTATGTTAAACATTATAAATATTATGGAAGAATTTGTATGTGTGTGTTGGCTTGTATATGCAATTTTTTTTTAAGTTTCTGGAAAGATGAGTAAGAAACTAATAATGCTGAGCCTGGGGGGCAGGGGTGACAGGGAGACTTCTTTCATGTGACTGTCATAATATCTTCAGTGATTTGAACCATGTGAATATTACTGTCAATCAATTAAATATATAAACTTTTTTTTCCTCCAGCAGTCTGTATGTTCTGTATTGGATAGGTTTCTCCAAATATCTCCAGTCTGCCATTTTGTTAGGTATGGAATAGTGGTCATTTTTGTGATTATATAAATTTTGTTTTATTTATTTTTATTGTTTTTTTTGGAGAGAGAATGCATGCATGTGAGAGTGGCAGCGTTGGGGAGCGGGAAGAGAGAGAATCTGAAGCAGGCTCCATCTCACACTCAATCTCATAACCTGAGATCCATGACCTGAGCCAAAAGCAAGAGTTGGATGCTTACTTAGACAACTGAGCTGCTTAGGCACCCCTTAATTAATCTTTTTAGAGAGAGAGAGAGAAAGAGAGTACATGCATGTGTGTGGGGTTGGGGGAGGGAGAGAGAGAATCCTAAGCAGGCTCCATATTCATGAGCACAGGCTCAATCCCATGACCCTGAGATCATGACCTCTGAGCTGAAATCAAGATTCGGACGCTTAACCAACAGAGCCATCCAGGTGCCCCAGTGGTTGTATAAATTTTAGATCGTGGTTTTTACCTCTGTCCAGCCTCTCGATGAACTTGCTAGATGAATATTTTCCAAACTATCTATGGCAGAGGATCAGCTCTTTAAAATTTTTCCAGTCTGGCACAGACTGATACTTTGGTAAACTACAATAAAAATAAATACTGATCACGTGCTTGGATGGCACGTAAATGTCAGATTGCTGTAAATGTTTCTAAACACTTTCTTTCCATTTCTTCTCATGGCAGACCAGTAAAACAACTTGCACACTAACTGTACCGTGCAGCACTACTGAAAATGGCGCCCCATTATTTTCCAGCTTTTGGGGGCTGTAGATCTGATAGTGATACCATCTTGTTCTTTAAAAAAATCTCTTACTGCTTTAAATGTTTTCCATTGTAGGTAACCCGCTTTCTTTCTGTGAAATGTCTTGTGGCCTTATCTGAAACATCAGATGTTCTCTGTGGCACATCCCTGCCCTTCAATTAGCTGAGCATGAGCACATGGCTCACTGCTCTGCCTAACGTTAGTGGTGTACTTTCAGAAGTCATTCATGGATTAATAGTGTATTTCATCAAATCAGAGATGCATTGATGCTGGCATTTTCTTGATCTTCTAGAAGGTTTCGTTGGTTGGTTTTCATGCTACTAATTTAGGACTGCCATCTGGCTGCCACCAATTGTTAAGATGCCTTCGATTTCAGAGATGTTAAAATGTGGAAGAACGTGTGTCTTAAAATATCTCGCGCATGGTCCCGTGATTGTTCTAACCTCTAATTAACTGTTGAGTGCTTGGAGACTTGCTTATAAGAAAGAGGAAAGACTTCAGTGACTTCCTTTAGAAACATCACCACTCTGCCGAAAGGCATCTCTTCTCTTTGTTCACGCCACGAACGTTAACCAGGGCACATTCTCTCATTAAGCGGCATGGCTTCCCTCCTTAGGAGCCCTGTGCTGTCATACCCTTGGGATGGACCAGCTCGGAGAACCTTGGCCAACTGACTTGTGTTTTGGTGGCACCGGTGTATCTTCCAATGTTATTAATAGACATTTTGCTCATCATAGAGATTTTTTTCCCCTTAACTTTGAAATTCACTCTGTTCCATTCCTGCCGTTCTGATCTTGTGAATATCAGGAGGTCTGCTAGTTATCCCAGCTTGCCATGCTGGCAGTGTCGTGCTTCTTTCAGTTGTGTGTTGTGTGGACTGCTTCTTACAAATATTTCTCAGATTTTTCTGGTTACATTTCTCCCTCTTTCTGGGGAAGATGGGGTCCCTCCCCCCACTACTGTTGCAATTCTTGGTCCACATATATGGCAGGCTGGGAGGAAGGGCAGTTAATATGTGGGCTAACTATAATTCATTTCTTCACCATGTATTTATTTATTGGCTGCGTACTCTCTGCTGGGCATAGTTCTCGAAGCATAAACCACAGTCTTAAGCTCCAGGCTTCATCTGAACATTCATTCTGCTTAGTTCTGGTTTTCCTAAACTAGACATTTATCTGGTTACTTTCCTTCATTTTTAGATAGCTTTTTAAAACTGAGAATTTAGTAATTTCTTCTTCTTTTTTTTTTTTTTAAAGATTTTATTTATTTGACAGAGATCACAAGTAGGCACAGAGAGATGGGGTGGGGGGGGCGGGAAGCAGACTCCCTGCTGAGCACAGAGCCCGATGCGGGACCAAATCCCAGGACCCTGAGATTATGACCTGAGCCGAAGGCAGTGGCTTAACCCACTGAGCCACCCATGCGCCCGAATTTAGTAATTGCTTGATAGGCTGATTTAGCACTAATGTGTTCTCCAGAAATGATGTATACATCCTTTGCTTTTTAGCCGATTACACCTCAACAAGAAGGCAACAGACAAACAGCCATACAGCAAGCTCCCAGGCGTGTCTCTTCTAAAGCCACTGAAAGGAGTAGATCCTAACCTAATCAACAACTTGGAGACCTTCTTCGAATTGGATTACCCCAAAGTAAGTACAACCTTGTACTCATTAGGTATGGGTGAGACCTCTTTTTTTGAGTGGGGGGCTTTTCTGTTGTGGTAAATGCTTAGAGAGGCATCTTTTTTTTTTTTTTTTTTTTTAAGATTTTATTTATTTATTTGGCAGCGATCACAAGTAGGCAGAGAGGCAGGCAGAGACAGAGAGAGGGCGGAAGCAGGCTTCCTGCCGAGCAGAGAGCCCAATTCGGGGCTCGATCCCAGGACCCTGAGATCATGAACGAGCCAAAGGCAGAGGCTTAACCCACTGAGCCACCGAGGTGCTCCCTCTTTTTAATCTCTTCCCTTTAATATTCAACCTGTAGTTTCTTAGGACAACTTACTAATCAAGAGATTATGTATCTAGCTTTATTGCAGCTTTTAAAATTGCTTGAAACACTGCTTTTGAATGTGTCTTTTCATTTCAAGCAGGTAGCTGCTTGATTTTTCGGTCCATGTGGATTTTCCTCCTTGGTCCCTATTTGCTTGTGTCTGTTTTGACCCTCAGTGTCTCAGTTTGTCCATAGTTTTTGCCATTAGGAGGCTCTTCCCCTCCTATTTCTTTAGGACATCTGAAATTGTGAGAAGGAAAATAATACATACACCACACTTCTCATGGTGACAGGTTTTCACACTCATTTCTTTCCTTTTAGCTTGTACTTTCTCGGTAGCATCAATGAAAAAGAATAGAGAAGACACAGATGTGATGTAGCCTTAATACAACTCTTATTAAGTATGTAGACATGAGTATAATTTGGTTAATTTTTTAGTGTTTTTTATATTAGTGCTTTTAAATTTTGGAAGTCTAGGTATTTGAAGCTAATTTGAAGCAAAATGGTTATTTCTTCTAGTTTGTGTGTGCGTGTGTGTATGTATTTAATAATTTTAGAGCTCTGACTCATGTATGCAGTACCTATCCAATAAATTGAATATGTAATTTTTTAAAAATAAGATTTATACTTGATTTTTTCAAACTAAAAGTGGAGAAAGTGTCCTTTTGTAATTTAGAAAGAATGATACAAATAAATTAATTGCAAAATAAGTTTTACAATAAGAAAAATGGAAGGTTTTTAAACCTTATGTAAGTAAATGCAAAGAGAATTTTTCTACTGAAAAATATTCATTGATTATTATTAAATATTTTATTGATTATAAGCTAGAATCATATATTTGTCCTTGTGAAATTTAATGTCACATTTCAGTTGTTTAATCATCATCCCACCCTTTACCCCCATTCACCTACTCTCAGAATTTGGTTATGGACCTTTTATTTCGGGTCCTTGGGAGATGATAGTCATGGAATTGAATTGGTCATGGAAGTTAGTGTGGGCTTTAGTTGTAGAAAGAGTGTCTAAGAATAACCCAGGAATATAGTATCCATTAATCCTGAACATTTGGGATAAGTCAATAGTTGATTGCTTCTTCTGAATGAAGTGTTGTTTTTTTTTTTTTTTAATTACAATTTGATATTATCTCAAGAGCTCTAGTTTTTGCTTTTTCCATTTTTGTCATTGAGGTATTTAAATTGATTGTGGAGAAAATGGTTTTGATACGTACTATAAAATGAGGAACCACATAGAAGATCATTTTTATTCTTTTTTTCAGAACTTTACTAATTATAAAAGTACTGTTTGTTAGCTGTGTAAATAGAAAATAAAGAAAGCGGAGGGAAAGTGCTAAGGACCTGTAATCTAAAGGAAAACTTGGACCTCATGGCATTTTTATTGGCTTTTTAAAAAGACCAAGCCCAGTGGCAAATATTCCACAGGAAACTGAAGTTAAACCACTGAAATCCCACAAATCTGAGTGTGAACAGGCAAGTGGCTGTGTCACCCAGGAGGCATGTAGTCCTGAAACGAATATTTGTGTGACTGCCAGGCCCAGCACACTTTACTATTGGCTTTTTGTCGAGGGCGAACATTGTTTTCCAGAAGTATGTCTGGTTTCAGTCCGGACATACGATTTTCCTGCTAATTTGATTCAGAACATTATAGACCACTCTAGAAAAAGAACATGTTGAAGTTCATAACTTTTGTTTAATTTGGGGTACATGCAAGATTTACTACTGGTACTTGCCCTGAATTTCTGGGCTTAAATTTTGGTGAGAATCGTTACTGTACTTTGCCCTGAAACATTTCTGTACTTGACATATCTTGTCAGTCCACTATTTCGGGTTGTTTTAAGATTTTATTTATTTGAGAGAGAGAACGCATCAATGGGGTGGGGGCAGGGACCTTAAGCAGACTCTGCACTGAGTGTGAAGCCTGACTTGGGGCCCCATCCCAGGACCCTGAGATCATGACCTGAGCCAAAACCAAGAGTTGGGACACTCAGGAGCCCCAATCCACTTTTTTGGATATTTATTCCTTGGGGGGTAAAAAAAAATTAGAATGAAAAAGTCATATAGTTGATTTTCTGCAAAACTGAGCACTTAGCTTGGCTCAGTATAGACTGCATTTTGGGGGGAGATTTAGCCACAGAGGGAAGAAGCAGCAGTCAGCTTTACGTTAGTAAATTCTGGCCATATGAAGAGTTTTTAAATTAAATGATCAGAGTTATTACAAGAATGAGGCTGTGGTAATAGTGGTGGGTTTTTTTCCCCTTTTTTTTGCAAATACAGAATTGGTTTAAAATGTTACAAGTCTGGTGCCATGTTTGGACTCTTTGTTGCCAGTGGTGTAGTTATCCTTAACAGGAATTATTTCTTACTGAATGATCTTCTAAACAAAGAATTAGAGAAGACAGAAAAGCAAATCCATTTTCAGAAGATCAAGCACAACATACATGGTGAAACTAGTAAATCTGCAAGATAGGAATTTGCCAAGTGAATTTGGAAAACTGTATAGACAATTTTCTTGAAAATAAAGAAGTGTATAACGTTACCTGTCTAGACTTTGAATTCAGAGCTGTGTTCTTACAAAACATCTCCTTCCTGGCATCTGTCTTTCACTCAGAAGTTATCCTAAGGATAAATGCTTTAACTTAATAAGTGTATTAATCACTCCATGCCAGAGAATATTTTAGGCATTTGGGGTCTAAATATGTTATGTCAGAAAATTCATATTCTGCTGTCATCCAAATAGCATCATAAAATTTTTCTGTAAAAGTGATGTGTAGTGGGGCACCTGGGTGAGTCAGTGGGTTAGGCCTCTGCCTTCGGCTCAGGTCATGGTCTCAGGGTCCTGGAATCGAGCTTCTGGCTCTCTGCTCAGCAGGGAGCCTGCTTCCTCCTCTCTCTGTGCCTGCCTCTCTGCCTACTTGTGATCTCTGTCAAATAAATAAATAAAATCTTAGGAAAAAAAAGATGTGTAGTTATTTGTAGAACAATTCAAGATATTCCTACTTGATATGCAATATAATGTTTTAATGTCATTAAAACAGTTTTCTATTTTTTTTTTTTTTTATTTGACAGAGATCACAAGTAGGCAGAGAGGCAGGCAGAGAGAGAGGAGGAAGCAGGCTCCCCGCTGAGCAGAGAGCCCGATGCGGGGCTCGATCCCAGGACCCCGGGATCATGACCTGAGCCAAAGGCAGAGGCCTTAAACCACTGAGCCACCCAGGCGCCCCAAACAGTTTTCTCTGTTAAGAGGATGTTTTATCTTGTTTGCTGTAGTACACAGTTTATATTCCTAATGTCTACAGGGCTGAATCAGTGGGGTTTTTCTAATGTTACTTATATACCTAAATCTGATACTGTATATGCATCGTAATTTATTCATGCATATGAATTTATTCGTTAAAGCTGAAAAGTAGCATTCATAATTATTGCTGTTTTCAGATACTCAATTCTTAAATATCAAAGGGCTGAATCCCTGTTTGTGGATTTCCTACACCTCTTTTGTCCTCAGCCTTTTAGTTGTTGCACTGTTTGAAAAGGAAAACGGAAAATTAGCCACTTTAGCTATATGTATAGTAACCTTAGTAAAGGGTTGTCAAACACTAACCTTCTCATTTAAACTACTCTGGGGTTTATTACTAGGCTTTATGTATTCATACTATACTGATTTATAATGGAATTCACTATATCTTACAGCCCTTTCAAATCCATAAAGTAAGTGTTTTCTTGAGATATTTTTAAAGAGTAATATTTTTAAGATTTTTTTATTTATTTATTTTGACAGAGAGAGATCACAAGTAGGTAGAGAGGCAGGCAGAGACAGAGGGGGAAGCAGGCTTCCCACTGAGCAGAGCCCAATGTGGAGCTCAATCCCAGAAACCTGAGATCATGACCTGAGCTGAAGACAGAGGCTTAACCCACTGCACCACCCAGGTGCCCCTAAAGTATAATATTTTTAATAAACATTATGTTTTTGAACATATATACTTCTGCCCGATCCTTTAGATAATACAAAAATATCCAGGAGCGCCTGGGTGGCTCAGTCAGCTAAGCCTCTGCCTCTTGATTTCAACTCGGTCATCATCTTGGGGTCATGAGATCGAGCCCACGTCAGGCTCTTCGTGCAGAGTCTACTTTGTCCCTCTCCCTGTGTTCCTCTCCCCCACCCCCATCTCATGCACCCTTCTCTCTGTCTAAATTAAATAGACAGTCTTTTAAAAATAATTTCCGAAGAAATTTTTTGTATCCTTTAAAAAAGCCTTTAACCAATTTGTACGTTCTGTCTGGCAAGTTGCAGGGTAGTTGGAGTGACTTAAGTATTCAATTACAGAGATTCCTAGCAAATAAGTGTTCGATCAGACTGAAGGCACAGGTGATTATCATAGCTGAAAAATGAACTCCAGGTTAAAATCAAATACTTTAGAAAATATTTGAAATGCTTACCTCTTATTTGGTACGATTTTAAGTATCAGAAACAAGCAAAAGTTATATGTTTAGTAAGAATCTGAACATTTCTTAGATAATGTGAATTGAGTTTTATTTGCACTCCGCCTAATCAGGAGGTTTTTGATTTTCATTTTAAGAGGTATAATCAGTAAAAATAAAAACTTCAATTTTTTAAAGATACTTATTTTAGAGAGTGCATGTGGGGGTGTAGGGACAGAGGGAGAGAGAGAGAATCTCAGGTGGCCTCCCCGCTGAGCACGGAGCCTGTGTAGAACTCCTGCTCTCAGGACCCCGAGGTCATGACCTGAGCTGACACCTCACTGACTGAGCCACCCCGGTGCCGCTAAAATAAAAACTTTAAATCTTGCATTTGAAGAAAGGTCAACTCTGCCTCCTTTGAAATCATTTCTGGAACTATATTCTTCAAAGTTTTCTTTTGCTAGGGGAAAAAAAGCTAAGACTAACTTTTTGATTATATTTTATGGAATTATATCACTTACTAACATTTCCTTTCACTGCGTTCGCTCGTATCTGCAAAACAGCATAAACTATAAAAGCATTAAAGAAACCATGCGGTGTTTGGAAAAAACGAGGAATTCGTTACTGCGAGCCCGGCTGAACAGCTTGCTCTAGGTCGAAAGCCAATAGTTACGTTTACCCTTTGTAAGTTCACTTAATCTTTCTGATCTTCATTGTTAAGGTCAATGTCTTTAGGCTGGTTCAGCCAGACATTGTTTTGAGAGTCGGGCTGGGAGGATGACTGATGCTTTATAGGACTTAAGAGTCAACCCTTTGGGAAGTTCAAGGGTGTGGCCAGAGTGGTGCCCTTCCCATACTCCGATTTTTATCTGGTCCCTGGAGACTGGGTAGTTGTAAAGTTGTTTTCAGTACCTCCTGAGTGGCAGTGTTGGTCCGTCATCATCAGACGGTAGGTAGGTAGTTGATAGAATGTATAATAATAGTAGGTAGAAAGTATGAGGGAAGTAAGTATAAATTGTTTTCCCCTCTACTTAATTATTGAGAAAACATTTTCTTTCACTTAAAAAATCGTGTTACCTTCTTTGACTTTAGTCCTGGCCCTTTTCATACTCAGTCACGAATTTCTATATTGCCAGTTTTTGCTGGGTTTCCCATTTACCTGAGCTAGTCCCTGTATGTTAGACACTTAAAAAGTTATGTCCTTAGCTCTTTTTATTTTTTAGGACACATAGTTTTTTTTTGTTTTTTTGTGGACATAATTAACCTCCCTCCTCTGCTTAAAAATGCCCACCCCATATTACAAAGAGGATTGGTAGGAAATTTGTCAGAGTCCGCATGAATTTAGCAGCACTCTTGAAAAAAAAAATACTGCTTAGAATACTTAGCCCATAAAATATTATAGTAGCATCTTTGTATGTGAAAGCAAATATTTTTTTTTAAGATTTTATTCATTTATTTGACAGAGAGAGATCACAAGTAGATGGAGAGGCAGGCAGAGAGAGAGAGAGAGAGAGGCAGGCTCCCCGCTGAGCAGAGAGCCCAATGCGGGACTCAATCCCAGGACCCTGAGATCATGACCTGAGCCGAAGGCAGCGGCTTAACCCACTGAGCCACCCAGGCGCCCACAAATACTTTTTTTTAAAATTTATTTTTATTTTTTTTAAAGATTTTATTTATTTATTTGACAGATCACAAGTAGGCAGAGAGGCAGGCAGAGAGAGAGGGGGGAAGCAGTCTCCCCACTAAGCAGGCTCCCCACTGATCAGAGAGCCCGATGCAGAGCTCCATCCCAGGACCCTGGGATTATGACGTGAGCCGAAGGCAGAGGCTTTAACCCACTGAGCCACCCAGGTACCCCAAGCAAATACTTTTTAAAAACTTAGTAGTTTACTAAATGGTAGCTTAAAGGTTAAATGCTCAAGATTTGATAAACCTGGCTACAGGTTTATCAGATCATCCCAGAGTTCTAATTCAAAAGTTAGAGTGGGGCCCAATATTCTCTACTTTAAATAAATATCCCAGGGTAACAGACATAGCCAGTCAAGTGCAAAGAAATAACTCCCTAACCTACTGAGCGGAATAGAACCCTGGGTATTTCCATTGTTAGAAGGCTAACCATGCTTTTCAGGATGATAGATTTTCTTTCCTTTTTTTTTTTTTTTTTTTTTTTTAAGAATTTATTTATGTAGTTGACAGACTGATCACAAGTAGGCAGAGAGGCAGGTAGAGACAGAGAGAGGGGGAAGCAGGCTCCCCGCTGAGTAGAGAGCCTGATGTGGGGCTCAATCCCAGGACTCTGGGGTCATGACTGGAGCTGAAGACAGAGGCTTTAACCCACCGAGCCACCCAGGCGCCCCAGGATGATAGATTTTCAATCAAATTCTACTTTATTTCAAAACTCACTATACAGCAAAAATCAAATCTCCCTTTGTCCTTTTCATGTGAAGAGTTTGGGGAAACCCTTTAAATCATAATGGGAGTTGATATGTAATTTATAACACCATCATGAAATAGTAAATTCAGAGACCGAGCGAGCTTCTAGAGAACAGAGTGGGTGTTTATTTTGTTTGCTTTCCATGTTGCTTTTACACTCCTGGGCACCCTGTGAGTATTTGGTAAAGCTGCAGTGATGGAGGCCACGGAGAAGCTCGAGAGGCAGTTTAATTACAAGGTCCTGCCTATCTGGGAATGGCAAGACTTCAGCTGTCAGGGCTGCCGGGCCTTTCCTTATCTCTTCTGCTTGCAAATAGGCCCCTGTTCAGGGAGAAGCTGCTCTCTGTTAAAGCAGCACTTGATGTCTTAAGTGTTTGCATCCACTATGAGTACTCTCTTAACTTCTAAACTCTGTGTGTACCATTGCTCGTTTTTCCTCATGCCTTTTTATCAGTCAGTAAATACTAATAACGTGCTTATTTTTGTAAGAGAGATTAATTTACATAAAATGTGTTCTTTGACTAGTATGAAGTCCTCCTTTGTGTACAAGATCATGATGATCCTGCCATTGATGTATGTAAGAAGCTTCTTGGAAAATATCCAAATGTTGATGCTAGATTGTTTATTGGTAGGTAAAAATTAATTCTGCAACAACCCTTTTGCTTTAATATTGTATTAAGTATCAATAATCTTTGCATTAAACTAGAGTGAAGTTACTAGCATGTTTGCTTTATGCATGTTAGAGTAGAAATAGGATGTGTTTATATCCTTTTGAAAAAACTTAAGTTCTAAAAACACAGGTTTTTTTTTCATATCTGGCATTAACAAAACAACAACAAAAACCCTACTGCCTCACCCCCCACCCCCACTGCCATTACCCTGTTACTGTTTTTCTCAGTCAGACATGAGAGTCTGGTTTTTCTTGTTGTTGTTGTTTCTTTAATATTTTCAACCTGTGGGCTTTTCTATATCTTATTCACTGTAATTGAGAGTGAGTGATAGAATTTGCTTTTATGATATGACAAAAAGAATATACATACATATTTTGTATAAAAGATTTTTTCAAAAGCCTATAGGCTTATTCTGAAGACTTGTAGAGAGATACTTGCTATTAAACATTGATTCATACTACTGATGCATTAATTTAAGAATTAAGAAACTGAACCTAATACATTTTCAAAGAAATTAATTCCCTTTGAGAATGAACAATTTCTTTCTAAACATACTGTGAATAATAAGGAACATACAGCATAATGTTAAAAGTATGTTTGTTTAAATTATTATGTATGAAAGTACTTTTCACTTCTCTCTACCCTGTATTTGTATTCTAGAAAATATTCTCAGTGTTTCATGAATCTTTCACTGTTGCACTTTACATTTCTAGGTGGCAAAAAAGTTGGCATTAATCCTAAAATTAATAATTTAATGCCAGGATATGAAGTTGCAAAGTATGATCTGATATGGATTTGTGATAGTGGAATAAGAGGTGAGCTTCTTTTTACTTATTTCATAAAACTATTCCTTTGATGATAAAATGCCAAAAGCAATCTGAAAATATATTTATCAGTCCTTTTTGTTTGCCTCATGAAGTAATTTATTTCATCTAATTTATGGTAAAATGTCAAGTTATACTTACTAAGATTAGGACCTTTTTAATGCTAACCTAGACTGTTAGATATATAAAAATATCTTTGCTTTGAAGAGAAAATTCCAGCTATTAAAAAAAAAGTTATGGTCCATTTTACAGTCCCTTTTACAAGATTTTTCGTAGTTGTAAATTTTGCCTTGTTCATGCTGCCCTTATCTTCTGCTTTAATATGTTTGGCACCAACAATATACTCTCTCACACAAAGGGACAAAATTAATAGGTGAATATATTACCAGGATATGTACATGGCTTATTTTAGTAGGAAGGCGTTTACATACTGAAATTATAATTTGCATCTTTGCATTTTTAAACATTTATATTCTTTTTTTTTTTTTTTTTTTTTAATTTATTTGACAGAGGTCACAAGTAGGCAGAGAGGCAGGCAGAGAGAGAGGAGGGAAGCAGGCTCCCCGCTGAGCAGAGAGCCCGACTCCGGGCTCGATCCCAGGACCCTGGGATCATGACCTGAGCCAAAAGCAGAGGCTTTAACCCACTGAGCCACCCAGGCGCCCCTAAACATTTATATTCCAATCACCACCAGTTTCTCAACCTTGGCATTCGGGGCCGGGTAATTCTGCTGTGGAGGCTGCCGTGTGGGATGGTGAGCCAGCAGCCCTGGCTCTGCACACCGAATGCCGGGAGCACCAAACACTGGCTCTAAGCATGGCTAACTGTTCGCTGCAGGGCAGCCGTGGAGAACCAAGGCTCTAGAAGATGCGTATTGAAGGTCCAGATACACTTTCATAGAGTGGATTTCGTTGGTGAAGACTTGAGGGAAGTAAAGTCATGTAAAAAGACAGGAGGTGTTTGCTATTTGAAGAGGGGACCATGATTTAATTTCTTCTTACTAGTTTTAAAAAGCAGATTTGAAAATGAATGGAAGTGTGTCCTGCCTGATTCATCAGGACTGTTACAGATCACTCAGTCATTCTTCGTGTTTGCTATCCTAAATTATTTTTATCATATATTACGTTTTTATAACATATGTATGCACCTCTGTGGAGTATCACCTCGTTCAGTTCCCGCTAGCAGTTTGACAAGATAGGACATCTCATACCCTCTAGGAAAAGTGGAGGCTCATTTCCTGTGGTTAGAGAATGCAGGAACCAGCAGAAGGACTGAGGTCCTTTGACCTTTGCTCCTGTTCCTTTTCTGTTAGGACACGTTATCTCTAGTCCGGGTTGGAGGTTCTTAAATAGGGAGAGTAACGTTTTCAGGGTATAGCCTGTTTCTGATACATGTTAGGTATATATTAGACTGAAAGTGTATCATGTAAATTAGCTTATCATGTATTAATGCCTCTTTTGAGATTTTGTATTCTAATTAGAAAAGTGATGGAGAATAGTTCTATTATATCCAAATATAAAAAAAGACTTTAGTAATATCTCACAAATACATTTCATGTTAGTGGATGCTTTACTAAAAGGATTTTTTTTTTTTTCTTTTTCCCCTGTCACCTTTTTGTCTTGTAGTAATTCCAGACACACTCACTGACATGGTTAACCAAATGACGGAGAAAGTAGGCCTGGTTCATGGTCTGCCTTACGTGGCAGACAGACAGGGCTTTGCCGCCACATTAGAACAGGTAAGTATCATGGTCATGTGTCATATTCTTACTGTCGCATCCCTCATCTACCAGAAACCTGAGACTAGTTTAAGTGTGAGAGTTGGGATGAGCTTCCCGAAGTTAACTGTAATTAAGTCTGTTTTAACCTGCTGGCATCCTCAGGATGAGAGTAGTAGTTTTCTTTGGTTCTTTTTTTTTAAAAGATTTTATTTATTTACTTGACAGAGATCACAAATAGGCAGAGAGAGAGAGGAGGAAGCAGGCTCCCCGCTGAGCAGAGAGCCTGATGTGGGGCTTGATCCCAGGACCCTGGGATCATGACATGAGCCGAAGGCAGAGGCTTTAACCCACTGAGCCACCCCGGCACCCCGAGAGCAGTTGTTTTATTAATGAAGACCTCTTTGGGCGCCTGGAATCACAGCTGAAGTTACTGCCCTCTGGCAGTGAGTGGATGTGCACATCCTTGTGGTCTCCTCACCAGCTGAACACAGTATATTCTTTCTCCTTATGGGTCTCCCTCTCAGTTCTAGAGTCAGGTTCTAGACTACTGACTTACATAAAAGCACATGGCATGTGGTTCTTTCAGAGATCCAGTATGAAAAGAATCTTTTTTTAAATATCACAGAATATTTTAGTTTTTAAAGATTTTATTTATTGAGTTGTCAGAGAGAGCACAGGCAGAGGAAACAGCAGGCAGAGGGAGAAGCAGACTCCCCACTGAGCAGGGAACCGGATGTGGGACTCGATCCCAGGACCCTGGGATCATGACCTCAGCTGAAGGCAGATGCTTAACGACTGAGCCACCCAAGGCATCCCTAGAGTATTTTAAATATACAAAAAAGGGAAAATTATTTGTACAAATCATTATAAAATCCATGTGATGTCCTCTTTTTTTTTTTTTTTTTTTTAAATTTGAGAGAAGAGAGAGCGTGCTGGAACTTGGTGAGGGCGGGGGGTGGTGGCACAGAAGGAGAGAAAGAGGGAGAAGCAGACTCCCCGCTGACGTAGAAAGCATGACATGGGGGTGGTCCTGGATCCCAGGACCCTGAGGTCATGATCTGAACCAAAGACAGGTGTTTAACCTACTGAGCTACCCAGACACCCTTATTTGATTTTCTTTTAAAGAGATTTCTAAAAGTTACATGAGAAACTTATTTTGCATTTTCCTTTTTTTCCCCCCTCTTCACCCTATAACAAATAGAAACTATAGATTGTGGATAAATACAAGAAACAAAAAATAAAAAACAACCCATGACCCTACCAGTTAGAGGAAGTTTCTGTTTTTTTCCCTATGTGCATTTTTAAAAACAGTTTGAGATGGTACTCTAAAAAAATGTGTATCTGACTTTTGTCACATCATTAGCTTTTCTCCATATTGTTAGTAACTTCTTATAAAAGTGATTTTTATTTACTGTATCACAGTCTATCATACGTATGTTCTGTGCCCGATTTAACCATTCCTGGGTTGTTACACATTTAGGAAGAAAAGCTTGCCTTAATGTCATCAGGGAAGGATATACTGTTACAGTCTTTTAAACGTATCAACTTGCTTTTAAGCATACCTGCACTTACATTATTTTGTACTGGAGTCTTGTGATTACCACAGATCTGAGAGGGTAAAAGTACATTGTGAGTGGAATTTAACCTCTGGCAGTTGGACCCAGGAGCTCTTAATATTGCCCATGAATATATTTGTCCTATTGTAAGAAATTGTTAAGTCTTTAAATACCAGAATTTTTGTTTAGTGAGTGAAACTCTGAGTAGGTACTTTAAAATAAAATACTTTCTATTTTTATATGCCACATCGTATTTTTGTTTTAGAAATATCCAAGTTGATGTGTATGGCAGTGGTAATCTTCTCCCAGATCACGGTCAGTCCCTTAGGTTAAATTTAATCCTTAAAGCGCCCTTTTGCCTTACTCAGAGTGAAGGGAAGTAGAAGGATTATTCCAGTCTGTAAAGAAATCCTGCGAGCCATTGACATAGTTCCTGTTTCCACCTCATTCTTAAAGCCCCACATAGTAACTGCTTAAGGAATTAAGATATGGGCTTCTGGTCTTACTTACTTGGTTCAGTTCAGTCCCACAAACACCAAAGGTTCATTGTAGTCTGGAAAAAGGGTAGGTAGCAAGAATCATCATCTTCATTACTCCTGATACCTCCGTCGTTCCACACTGCGCATAGCTGCTGCCATTGAGAAAAACCACCCTTCTCCTTTCAAGCTAATTAGAAAAGGCAGCGTATCTCAGATGTAAATAATAGGGTTTTATGTCTCATAATTAGGGTGATGACCATTTTATTCTACCACTGGTTTAGCACCTCGCATAGCTCATGACTTCAAAGCATATCTTGGGAAAGGGGGAGTAAAATGGGAGGAAGAATTTTGGTCTCCACCCTGTTTATGGAAAATTCATTGAAAAGTAACACTGGGGGAACTGGGAAAAAGCTCGGCGACTCAGGCAGAAAGCAGCTAGCTATGAAAGGAATTAAAATAGGATTGTCCTGGGGCGCCTGGGTGGCTCAGTGGGTTAAGCCGCTGCCTTGGGCTCAGGTCATGATCTCAGGGTCCTGGGATCAAGTCCCGCATCGGACTCTCTGCTCAGCAGGGAGCCTGCTTCTCTCCCTCTCTCTCTCTGCCTGCCTCTCTGTCTACTTGTGATGTCTGTCAAATCAATAAATAAAATCTTAAAAAAAAAAAATAGGATTGTCCTGTAGGTCGATATACTTACAGGTGGTGTTTGCATGTGTGAGTACACGTGACATACAGTCACATACATACACCTGTATGTGTAGGTGTGTGTGTGTGTAGTTACATCTGTATCAGATAGTTGTTAACATTTGACATGTCAATGAGTGATACTTCTGACTTTATATCCCATTTAAGTTTTATTTGGATAAATCTTTGAATCTTGCAGCTTTACAGAACACAGTGTTTATTTGAGAATAGAATACAATTTTTTTTCCCCAGAAATATATTTTTCTTCGTAATGGTCCTAGTAAGAATAGTCAGTCTAGGGGCACCTGGGTGGCGCAGTCGGTTGATCCTCTGACTCTTGGTTTTGGCTCAGGTCATGATCTCAGGGTGGTGGGATCAAGCCTCACATTGGGCTCCTTGCTCCGTGCGAAGTCCGCTTGAGATACTCTATCCCTCTGCCACTGCCCCCTGCTCACATGCTCTCTCTCTCTCTCTCTCTCTTGCTCCCGCTCGCTCTCTCTAAAATAAATAAATCTTAAAAAAAAAAAAAAAGGAATAGTCCATCAAGTAAGAAATTACTGATTGTCCTCTACATGTAAACATTATTTTGTAATAACTTTTATTCATGTAGTTTATATAAGAATAATAAGATACTCAGTCATACTTAAAGGAAGTTCGTTAGAAAAAAAAAGTTTTATAGCTACCATACTTTTAACATAACATTCTAATTATACATATATGTTTTTGCTTTTGTTTTGGCAGGTATATTTTGGGACTTCTCATCCAAGGTCATATATCTCTGCCAATGTAACTGGCTTCAAATGTGTGACGGGAATGTCTTGTTTAATGAGAAAGGATGTGTTAGATCAAGCAGGAGGGCTTATAGCTTTTGCCCAGTACATTGCTGAAGATTACTTTATGGCCAAGGCCATAGCTGACCGGTAAGCAAACTAAATTACATCAGGCTATAGTATTTTTAGTACCTGACTTATGTAGGTTTATTGTATTTGTTAAACCTATGGGTTAAGGGGCTGTTTCATTTCTTGCTAGTGAGTACAGAATAGGTTAATATTTTTAGGAAGTAATTCCTATTATTCATAGATACGTTATGAAAGAAATGAGTGAGGAAAATAAGTGTTCTGATTCTTTCACATTCTTTAGTGTGGCTTGACATTAAAAGGAAGCTTCTCTGTGATTATAAATTTACATTATTATAGATGTGAATTTCTACGTGTTTTAGAAGAATTGAAAATACTAGTGTGGTCATAAGCCAGCAGGTGAAAATTGAAAGAATATGATTTCACATTTTGGAATTTCTTGGTAGATTATGTGATGCTTTGCTAAGAAGCCACCTAACAATTCACAGAATGACTTACAACATTTCTCTGTTACAAGATACTCGTTTGCTTTTAAAGGGGTTCATTGCCTTGTATGATAATTTATTAAAGATAAGATTTTAAAAATTGAGGTGTGCTTTTAAAATTCTTAAATGATGTTATTCAATGTGGCTCATAGTTCCTTAGTGTTTCCCATGAGCTGCAGAATGCTTTCTGTTTCATTTCTTACTGAATAGCCTTGTCGATGCCCACGTGTCACACATACCCCCAGCCCACGATTGAGTTGGTGGTTTTTGGTTTTGGTTTTGTTTAGTAGTGATCAGGGACTAAGCTGTGAAATACAGAACCCACGTCACCTAGTACTTCCAGAAAGTCTGTGTTTTAAGTTTCTTAAACTGTAGACTGAGGGGTGGTAGTTCTTTCAGCAGTAGAGGGTACTGTCACGGGCTGTGTAATTGCTAAAACATCCGTAAGGATGATACACCCCAAGAAGGGTGCTAATCCTGAGAACTAGGCTCCCGCCGAACACCAGCATTTGCTTTCACTTTATAGTGATGAGTAAATGCATAGTCAGTCATGCCTGCATGTGTTCATCGTCTTGGTACATTTTATAATTGTCTTAATTTTCAGAGGCTGGAGGTTTGCGATGTCCACGCAGGTTGCAATGCAAAACTCCGGCTCTTATTCAATTTCCCAGTTTCAGTCCAGAATGATCAGGTAAATCAGCTGGTTTTCTTCTTTTTCGGCTAAAAGAAAAGGGTGGGGGAAGGTGTGATTTTTACATGGTCTGACTCGGTATTTAAAATATCTAAAAGTCAAATTTTGCTTAGTTCTAGAAAAGAGAGTTTAGCATCTTTATTAAATGTATTGTCTAAATATATTTTCTTTGCTGTGTAACCCTGAAAGCATTCAGTAAAGAGCTGTTGAGGTGGGTGGGGGTAGGGTAGCTGGGTGACGGGCATTAACGAGGGCACATGATGTAATGAGCACCAGGTATTATATGCAACTGATGAATCACTAAATTCTATGTCTGAAACCAGTAATACAGTACATGTTAACTAGATTGAATTTTAAATAAAAAAGAGATGTTGAGAATTTGATTCTTTAATGTGCTGATCTCTATTTTCTAACTTTATTTATTTGACAGAGAGAGAGAGAGAGAGAGATCACAAGCAGGCAGACGGGGGTGGGGGGGAGCAGGCTCCCCACCCAGCAGAGAGCCTGATGCGGGTCTTAATCCCAGGACCCCGAGATCATGACCTGAGCTGAAGGCAGAGGCTTAACCCTCTGAGCCACCCAGGCACCCCTATATTTTGACTTTTTTATTCGGTAGAGTGTAGGCCATACAAATAAATTTATAGGCTTTTTTCTTTGATAATACTAAATACAAACAGAAAAGAGATTCATTAAATACTCTTTAAAGAGGAGGGCCTTTATATAACAGGATAAAGAGCTGATCATTGGGGGGGAAATTGATTAGTCTTGTAACCAGGCTGTTGTTTAAGGAAAACCTTTTTTTTTTTTTTAATTTTTAGGTGGACCAAATTGCGAATTAACATGCTTCCTGCTACAATAATTTGTGAGCCAATTTCAGAATGCTTTGTTGCCAGTTTAATTATCGGATGGGCGGCCCACCATGTATTCAGATGGGATATTATGGTATTTTTCATGTGTCATTGCCTGGCATGGTTTATATTTGACTACATTCAACTCAGGGGTGTCCAGGTATGTGGATAGGCATGAAAAGGTTGGCAGTCATTTGGAGAACTAAAACTATTTTCATTTAGAAAGGGTTGGAGCAATCTTCCTGAGCCATTCTGTGGCTTCCCACCGGAGGTTAATAATCAGGTTTAAACATTACTTTCCTTAGTAGAATGTGGATGCAGAACTTAACATAATTTTCAACTTTCTGTTGGTAGTTACACTATGACTTTTTTTAAGGCTCCCCCCAAAATCATGTTAATAAAATGACTCTCATTAAGTCTCCCCCCAAAATCGAGTATTCAAACTAAACTATGTCAGACTAGCCATGATTTTAATGCCTTTTTTACTCATCGTTAACACTTTTTAATGGATATAGCTTGGCAGTTAAATTATATCAAGAAGCAGGCTTGATTTTATATAGTGTCTATATTAAGAGTGAAATTGAAGAATTTCATTTTTTTTAACTGTGTCTAGTTCGACAGTTGGTCAGTCAGTTCTGTGTGTTTTCTTTTTTTCCAATCCCCAGGGTGGCACACTGTGTTTCTCAAAACTTGATTATGCAGTAGCCTGGTTCATCCGTGAATCCATGACAATATACATTTTTTTGTCGGCATTATGGGACCCTACCATAAGCTGGAGAACTGGTCGCTACAGATTGCGCTGTGGGGGCACGGCGGAGGAAATTCTCGATGTATAACGACAGCTTTGTGACTGTACATAAAGGAAAAAAGAGAAGTATTATAAATTATGTTTATATAAATTCTTTTAAAGATCTACCTTCCGTAGTTTTATCACATGTATGTTTGATATCTGTTCTTTAATTTATTTTGCATGGCAATTGCATCTGTGAAGAAAAAAAAAAAACCACATCCGTAGTCTTGGCCAAATGGTACACTTTATTTTGTGGAAGTAGTGAATCAAGAGAACTGGTTCTAGGAACCTGGCTTTGGTTTTTGTCGTTTATTTTTTAAAAACAAATAAATATATATATATGACTATATGAATGCTCTGCAACAAACACTATGACAGTATCCTTCAGTAGAGAAAGTTTCTTATTTGTGAGTACACTCTGGTAGAACATTTACAGGACGGCAGCAGCTTTGCTTTGGGGTTTAGGGAAGACCAGAAAGTAATCCCTTTACGTGTCTAAAATGAAAGGTGTGCGGTGAACAGCCCACAGTGAGGTACTAACTAAGAAACTTTTTCATGCTCTATGCCTACCTCTTGTAGTTGTTGCAGAGCAAATATAAATTGTAATAAGGTAGCTAGGCCTTGCAAAAACAAATGGGAAGACTTTAAAAATAATAATAATAAAAGAGCTGGAGTCTAGTATTTATATGAATCTGTGAGAGAGATTTTTTTGGTCTCACTGCAATGAACCAAAAGTGGCTGAGTTTGGTTTTTAATTGTAGCCATGTATTGAAGGCATCCTTTTGACCAACTCTTGTTGGTTCTGTCTTGAACCATTGTTAATCACTGTGCTGGTAAACCTTTCCTTCCCTGCTCCTCACCCGGCCCCACCCCATCTTTCCCGAACTTTTTTTTTTCTGGGGGGTGGGGTGGGGGGGCTGGGGTGGTTTTGTTTTAGTGTGAGTGGATGTTTTGATAGTTGTGAGGAAAAATGCATTTCAGACACATTTCACACATGAGCTATTTTCTTACACAGTATGTCTTATTGTTAAAAAGAATGTAATTTCATGATACAGGTATTTAATATCTTTTTTAAGTAAGTGAATATTCTAGCCATCAAATAAATTGCAGTAGAGTATTAAGTGGGGACGGGATGAGTTTTACTCTTAAAATTAATCAGTATCAAACTAAGTCTACTGTGTGTGTGTTTTTTTTTTTTTAACTCTTACAGTTAGTCTAGTCTTATTTAAATTGGATTTTTGTATTCCAGTTTGTATGACAGAATAGACTAGATCAGCGCTAGTTGTAAATGCATGCTGTCTTTTACTCTCCTCTCCCCATCCTGTCGCTAAACTTGCTTGTCAGGTTGTGCTTAACTTGTGGTGAACTGGACTAGTTTTTGTTTTTTGTTTTTTGTTTTTTTTTTAAATAGGCAAAAATGTAAGGGACAGTGCATAAGCCTTTTTTTTTTCCTTTTTTCTGTAGTGGAATTTTTGCTTTTTCTTCAGGATTGGATGGCATGTTGTCCTCATGAACGCCTGCTGCAGGGCTGACGCTGGCAATACGGCCACGTTAAATTCTGAGTTTCTACAGTTTCTGTGTCCAAGCATAATGTGTAGCCTATCAGCAATAATTACGTATTTCTAGAAAATGGACACATTTTCACTACACTGAGCCAGTTCATTTGTCTAATGACTAACATACATGGTTTCCATTGTAATATATCTATTAATGTGTATATACTATGTATACACATTATGTATAAGCTTTTCTCTGGGCCAAACTGCTTCATTAAAAAAAATTTTTTTTTTCTTTTTTTGCGCCTTATGACGAATTTGTTTGGAGGGCATTTTCTTCATGAACAAAGGCTTTGATGCATACTCCTTTCTATGTGAAATGGGTAGTATTGTTCCCTGAGGAAAGTTGCACAGTGAAAACCAGTCTAGTTGTGACCCACTTTGTGTTTTGTTTTTTTTGTTTGTTTTTTATCTCTATTACACAAGTTGAATTTTGCTGAATATGTTTGTAATTTGTTGGTTTGTTTAATGAAGTTTGGTTGAGGCCATCTTTTGCACTGCTGAAATGAAATCTTGCTTATTACTTAGCTTTTTGCTAATCTCAGTATGGGCAATGTAACAACAAATCCAAATGGCTGGACAGACTTCTTGTGTTTTGTAAATATAAAAAATGACTGTTCTGTATGTGTGTTTTATGTGATAAAGTGAAGCTTCAGTCTTCACTTAGAGTGATTCTTTGTTTAGCAAGTTTAGAGTGGTGATAATATGGTAAATACTATAAATGTTGAAGAAAGCATCACAACAGAACTGTAGGAGTCCAAATTTAATAAACTGTTTAAAAAAAACCAACAAGTGTCTAGAATATACCACGTTTTATTATTTAAAATCATTGTATTAAGTTTTTTGTTCAAAATAAAAATTTGAATACAATCAAAACATTAACAATAATGTATTGTTGTTTACTGTCTTTCCTTTTTTTTTTTTTTTTTGTATTTTTACAAATAACATGTTCCACCATTCACATCAGAACTACTGGGAGAATTCTGTCAAGTGATGATTTTGAAATCTTCCTCTTTACCTGTGCTACAGTCATGCTTTGGCATAACATGGGGCTTTTCTTTTTTGTTGTTGTTGTTGTTGTTGTTTTAAGATTTTATTTATTTATTTGACAGAGATCACAAGTAGGCAGAGAGGCAGGCAGAGAGAGAGAGGGAAGCAGGCTCCCTGCCGAGCAGAGAGCCCGATGCGGGGCTCGATCCCAGGACCTTGAGATCATGACCTGAGCCGAAGGCAGAGGCTTTAACCCACTGAGCCACCCAGGTGCCCCAACATGGGGCTTTTCTACATTGATTTCACATTAGAACCACCTGGAGAACTTTAAAAAAAAAAAAAAAAAAAAAAGATGCCTGGGCCCTGCCCACAGAGATTCTGGTTATTCTGGGGTGAGGCCTGAGCTGTCCTTGTTCTGAGCAGGCAGACCTGAGAAGCACTGGCCCAACCTGGAGAAGAGACCCATGGGCCCTTTTTGCCCCCCCCGCCCCCCGCCCCAACCTTGGCTCACAACCTGACTCAGCCTCTTAGATGTTACCACTCCAATGGCTGGGAAAGGCCCAACCAAGGAAAGGGAAGGAGTGGCTCTGGGACTGGAGACCTAGATGGGAGATTGACTAAGTCGTCCCACACACTGGCCAGGCCAGGCTCCTCCAAAGCTGGAGGCATTTCCAGACCTGTTTCACTCTGAGCCTGTGAGGGAAGAGTACTTTTAACTGGAGAGTAAATCCCAGGGGAGGAAGAGTCTAAAAGGAATTTGAAACGATGAAAATGTTTTGCCGTAAAACAGCAGTGATGGTTGCACAACCTTGTGAATATACAAAAAACCCTGAATTATATACTTTAAAAGGCAAATTTTATGGTCTGTTAACTATATCTGAATTTTTAAAAAAATAAGGAAATATTGAAACCACTGTTAAATATATTATTTCCCTCTAGTCTTCTGACACCTGTTCAGGGTTCGAGAGAGCGTGCAGAACTGTTTGCTCGTTGTTGGGTATCCTTGCTCAAACCCAGAATGGCCAGTTTTAAGATCTTTCCAAAATTGACAGATAAAAATACTGTACCTCATTGTTTAAACAGGGAGGGTTTTTTGTTTGTTTGTTTGTTTGTTTGTTTTAAGTGGGATCCATGCCCAGCACAGAACCCAATGCAGAGCTTGAACTCAAAATCCTAAGACCTGGGGTGCCTGGGTGGCTCAGTGGGTTAAGCCTCTGCTCAGGTCATGATCTCAGGGTCCTGGGATCGAGCCCTGCATCGGGCTCTCTGCTCGACAGTGAGCCTGCTTCCCCCTCTCTCTGCCTGCCTCTCTGCCTACTTGTGATCTCTCTCTGTCAAATAAATAAATAAAATCTTTAAAAAAAAAAAAAATCCTAAGAACTGAGCTGGGTTCAAGAGTTGGATACTCAACCCACTGAACCACCCAGGTGCCCCTCAACATACAGATTTTTTTAATGACTGGCAAAATTGAGTATTTTTTTTAATGATTTGTAACTACTGGAATTTCTTCCATTTCTTGGTCTTACTTAAGCAAGGGTCTTAATGCTTCCTTATTGAGTATCCATGTCTTTTAACCCTAATAAACAATCTACATTACCAGACAGAACAGTGCTAAAATCTTTGTATTTAGGATAATGCTTTCCCAAGGCAAGATGGGATGGGCGTGGAAATAACTGATCAACGTTTGTGCAACCAAATGGCCCACACCAGTGTCCCCATCAAAAAGATCAGCCTTCCCAAATGTGGTTTCCCTCCCTGTCTTAGAACAGAACCATTTTCAGCTTTGAAGTAACAGTATTTTCACAGTCTGCATGTATTCACATTTCTGACACAAGGTTACTTGGCCTTTGGTTACTACTGGTTTTTTTGTTTGTTTGTTTTTAAATACATTTCTGAGCTTTATTTGCTAGTATTTAATGAAATATTTTCTAGGCTTTAGAGGGAGGTTATGCTAACCACAAAGTCAGTTCCCCCCCCCCAACCCCCGTGCTCCAGAAATTATTTAGCCAGGGATGATCTGTTCCTTGAAAGTTTGAAAGGATTTATCCATAAAACTTCATGGGCTTGGCACTTCAATAACTTTTTCAGTTTATTTCATTGATACTGATCAGTTCACATTTTCTATGTCTATTATAAAGTCCATTTTAGTCATTTACACAATAGAGCTGCACACAGCATGTTCATAATTCCCTTGAGACTCTTGCTGGCTACAGACGCTGCTGGGCAGGAGGTTTGCAGCCCCTGTGCGGATTGAACTTGGACCTCTCGTCTGAGAGCAGAGTTGCAGGCAAGACCATCCCTCCTGAGGCTCCCAGTATCCTCTTAATATAAAGAAAACCTGGCCGCATCACTCCTCTTAAAACACTTGAATGGCTTGATGTTACCTTCAGGATAAAAGCTCAAGGTTTAGGCCATTTTAGGGTACATCCTTGCCAACACCTCCCCTCTTGCTCTTTCGCCAAACCTGCTCACATTAAACTCACTGTAAACTTCCTGCCCTTTCCCTGACATCTGCTCTTTCCAGCTCTGGGCCTTCACACATGTTGCTTCCTCAAACTCCGTTCCTCCAACCTCCACATCGCCCGTGGGACTCTGCTCAGGTGCCGGCTCCTCCGTGACTTATCTGCCCAGGTTATGGACCCTGTGCCTGCCTCCACGGCCTCACCCTGCACTTCTGCCCCAGCACCTAATGCTAGTTATTTTAATTGGGCCTATAGTTGTTTGTGTTCATCATTAAATTGGAAATACCAAGGGCCGGGAGGGTCGGTAATGTACTTGACCTTGTGTCGCGAGCCTCCTGGCTTAGGACCTGATACAAAGTCCATTTTCCTGACTGAATGAACAAATAAAGGTGTGCCTGTGTCACTAATCTCCGGCCTACAGCTAATCACATAATAGGAATGCAGTCCGTGGAGCCAGCCTGCTTGGGTCCACTTCCAGCGTCGCCATTTGCTTCCTGGACACGTTCTCTGTGCCTCAGTGGACACCAGCGTGATTGACTTCTGAGGGTCAGCGTGAGAATCAAAAGGAGTACTGCGTTTAAAAAGCCAGTAAAAGCTTGTGTGCCAATAAGGATCTCAAGTCACTAAGTGAAAATGAAAGCTGAGTTACACAGTCAACAAAGTAGCTCTTCTTCCACCAAGGGAAAGAACGCTTCACAATCTGATGGAGAGGGTTGCATGATCTTTCGTAGGGCAACTCACCCCTCAGCCCTGGGTGGTTCAGAGTAAATATTCTAGCATTCAAGATGAGAATCAGTCAGATTTATTTAAACTGTTCTAAACAGTGCTATGGTAGCCCATATAATACTATTCCGAATGTCAGAGCCAATGGCCTGAGCTGCAAGGCTTGGTGAAAATTGCAAGACCCCACTGCGCAGACTGCATTCTGACCAGAATGGTCCAAAGCATCTAAAGGCTGAGGACGTGGTGTTCACAGCAGAGTGTGGCAACACACCTGTGTGGAATGAGGTGCACCCATGACATGGGCAACATTCAAGGAACTTTACCTGGCTGCAATATTTCCAGCTATCAGTCTTTTATTTTATTTTTATATTTTTAAAATATTTTATTTATTTATTTGATAGAGATCACAAGTAGGCCGAGAGGCAGGCAGAGAGAGGAAGGAAAGCAGGGTCCTTGCTGAGCAGAGAGCTCGATGCAGGGCTCGATCCCAAGACCCGGGACCATGACCTGAGCCGAAGGCAGAGGCTTTAACACTGAGCCACCCAGGCACCCCCCAGCTATCAGTCTTGTAAAGGGCAATTCTCTGTATACCTCAAAGAGAATTTTCTGGTGCTCTCTGCCTCTGGGCACTGAGAGCAGCGAGCATGGAGGCTGAGGTCTCTAGACCTCATCTGAAGGGGAATTTCCTTCCACATAGCTTTGTGGTTTCCCTGGTTCCCAAGCTAGTACAAGAATTTATTTTTTTAAGATTTTATTTATTTGTCAGAGAGAGAGAGAGAGAAAGCACAAGCAGGGAGCAGCAGGCAGAAGGAGAAGCAGACTCCCTGCTGAGCAGGGAGCCTAACATGGGGCACGATCCCAGGACCCTGGGATCATGACCTGAGCCAAAGGCAGATGCTTAATGACTGAGCCACTCAGGCGCCCCTTTCGCAATCACTTCTCATCTCAGTCCCTCCCAGCTAGGACCACTCAGCAATAGTATAAAGAGTCCAGACACAGCTAGGACCTCATTGCTTGAAATCTCTGCATGAGGATCCAAATCTGGCTGCTGCCATCCTTGCTGTGATCCTGTCTGAGAGACACTGGTTTGATTCCACTGACAGCAGTGGTGCTAGAAAGACTGAGCTTTCTTCCATCAGAGAACAGAGACCCCACCCCCAAAGCCTCAACAGAAATGTCAGGCTCCCTGTCCCTGTTACAGCTGGCCCATATTACAGTGGCAGTCAGCCCACCAGTGCTCTAGGGAGTCCAACAGCTGACTTGCCAAATTATCGGGCAAAAGAAATTGCAAACGAAGAGAACACATCATTTGCAAGAAAGAGACCAAGCTGGCCAGAAGATGTGGATAAGTGGAGGCAGAATTAATAGGAGAAACAGAGGGGAAGTTCAATTAAAACACCTAATGAGTGGGAAAACATAATGAGAACTTTCAAGAAGACGGAATTAGAGCATAACAAATGAAATTATGGAACTAAAAGGCAAGATTTCTAAATTTAGAATTTCAACGGAGAAATAGAGTGATTCTGTCTAAAAATTAAATTCGTATTTGGGGGGTGGGAAGGTGTCTCAAAAACCCAGTGCCAAACAAAACAAAACATACTAAATGCAAA